TTTTTAATGTTTCGCTGTTGAATTCCTTTGTCTCCCATCTCCTTTCAGCCCATTGACGTGCACCCATTCCTGTGCCTAATGTTATTTATATGTGCAGTTGTGTTTTTGTGTCAGGGGTTTCCGGATCCATATAAGCAAAAGGGGTCTATGCCCATCCCAAAGAGAAACAGGTGTAGGCATGCTACCTTAAGACATCTACTAGCACTTCTGTCCAGTGTAGAGAAGGGGGCGTGGGGAGTATTGGTTCAATATATTTAACTCAGCCTATCTGTCCAGCATATTTTTATAGTGCATTCAGTCTATTATCAATGGCTTGTGAAAAATCATCCTTTTTTCTAATGATAGGGTATATTCCACAATGTCTAAATTAAGTTTGGTGTGGGCACTAAATTCAGAATCTCTGCTTTTGTGGATTTAAATCTGAAGCTAAGTATTGTTTTAGTCATTTTCTTTTTGTATAGTCTGAAAATCTTAATGTATCATACACCACATGCTCTAAGCCAGTCATATATATGTATGTATGTATATGTTGCATTGTTAACTGTCTGATGTTACAATGCTAATGGAGACAGCCAACAATCGAAGTACAGAGATCAGTGTGATGCTCCCCAGTGGTACCCAGGGTTGTGAGGCACCACAAAACTACCTGCCTTTCAGCATGAAGCAATCTTGTCTCTGCCTGTTGTGGGTCAGCTCCTTGAAACCTCCTTCCAGCCTCTGGAAGCACAAGCACTACCTTCCAGGCCCAGGCAGACCTTGATCTCTCTGCACAGGTAGCAATAGGCACATACCAACCCCCAGAATCTCAGAGCATTCCCTGCAGTGTCCAGCCCCTTATCCACTGAATCCACTGAGTCCTCTGGGTGGGGAGCTGGGCTCTGGGTTGGGGGGGTGCCTGGCTCACAGGGGCTGGGCTCAGGGCCTTGGGGGGGGATGGGGCCGGGGGGTGCCCGGCTCAGAGGGACTGGGCTTGGAGCTGGGGGTCAGGGCTGTGGGGGATGGGGTCTGGGTGTGCCCGGCCCCTTACCATGCTGCTTACCCCCTCTCCCAGAGCCTCAGCGCGCTGCGTCCAGGAGCGGCCCCGGACAGCGCTGCAGCGGCGTGGTGTCTCCAGCAGGGCCTGAGTTCCCGCTGCTCGGCCGCAGCTCACAGCCCCGCCCCCTTACCAGCTGAGACGCCGGGGGATGAGGGAAGACAGAGTCGGGGGGAGCCTCTGACATATTCGTGGGGGCTCCTGTGGGGCCTGGGGCAAATTGCCCCATTTGCCCCCACCCCGCCCGGGCGGCCCTGCTCAAGCAAACCTTTGATCTGTACCTCCAGATATGGTTCTCTCCTTCCCTCTTTTTCTCTTCCTGTTACTTTCTTTCTGAAGTCCCCACAACCCTTCAATTGCATTTGGTTCAGATGTGTGATAGTAGACCCATTGTGAATGAGGCAATACTAAAGTTACATGTAAACAGACAGATGAATAAACAGAAAACCTATTTTTCACTATTGCTGTTGTCCAGCTTCACAGCCGCAGACTTCAAGAACATATTTTTGGTTATATATACACATAACTCCTTACACAACACCTGTACATGAATTTTGCAATGATCTTTATGGCCAGTGTGACATCGGCTTTTATGTGAGACCTTGCATGATATTCTTTGGTGAACTAGAATTTACACACCAGACTCATGAGATTCCTGTAAGCCCTCTGCACCCCTTTACCAGTTGGCATTAAGAGGTTCTTAGGTCACAATCAGGACAGCAGCATTTCTGGTAAAACAGCAGTATTTCAGGTTCCTCTCCCCAGACGAAATGACATATTCACTAAGTATCTCTTCACTGCAAGGTGTGGATGTCATAATGTAAATATGTATCTAGTGTTATCTTTCCTTCAAACAGTACTCTATCTCGCAGGGCTGTGGGGGATGGGGATGAGAGGAGTTTCACTTTTCTCCTTTCATGTATGCACAAACCACCATCACAGTATTTAGTAAGTAAATCAGAGGTGAAAGTAAGCCGGTATGGCCCAGTACTGCATACCCGTAAGAGCCGATACATAACCTACCGTACCAGCAGGGCCGCTGATTGGGGGAGTGGCAAAAGGGGCAGCTTCCCCGGGGCCCACCAGAGCCCCGGGGCTCCCAGCCGCCACCGTCGCTACCATGGGGCTCTGGTGGTGATTTAAAGTTCCGGGGCTCCCGGCCGCTGCCACTACCGCGCCAGGAGCTGGAGCCCTGGGCCCTTTAAATCACCGCTGGAGCCCCGGGGTAGTGGTAGTGGCGGCCTGGAGCCCTGAGCCCTGGGGTAGCGGCGGCCAGGAGCCCCGGGGCTGTGGCAGTGATTTAAAGGGCGGGAGCCCTGGAGTAGCGCTAGTGGTGGCGAGCCACGGGCCCTTTAAATCACCGCCGGAGCCCCAGGCGGCGTGGGCCAAGCAGCACTGAAGGGCTGGCTGGGGGAGTCTGGCCCCAGCCCTGCCTCTTCTGCCCGAGGCCCCACCCCCTTCTTGGGGCCCAGAGCCGTCCTCCCACCTTGCTCAGGACCCCAGCTACGTAAGTTCCTTAAGTTACTTTCACCCCTGAAGTAAATAAATAATATCCACACATTACAGTCAAAACTATTAAGCATAATTGTGAAACATGAATCACTTGTGGGTCCTGACCAGCACGGACAGGGATTTGTTTCTGAGAATTCTGCCAGCCAACTCATTATATATTCTACCCCAATGATCCTCAAACTTTTTTTGGTTTGCAACCTTCAAAATGGCCCCAAATCCTAAAATGATCTTTTTTTCCACCATGCTGAGAAGAAGGGGTGAGCTGGTTGGGCTAAGTGAGGGAGCTTGTGGACCGGAGATGCTTCTTCATCCCCTTTGCTTCAAAAGGTTGTGAATTCAGCTCCACAGCTCTTTGAAACACCCCTTCTCCTACCAGGAAGATGAGTACTGTTTGGGGAGAGAGTCTGAGGAAATGTTCTGAGTTTGTGTGGCGGACAGGAGTCCTTAAGGACCTAATTTATGCTTTGTTTCCCACGGTCCCTGGGAAGCAAGAATAGCTATAGTAAGGTGTGTTTCAGTCAGACACTCTGCCCCCTGCCCTGCACTGGGAAGGGGAAGCTAAGAGTAGGCACATGGAAAGTGTCAGTGCACTTGCACAGGGCCCCCAACCACCAGGGAGGGTGGGGGAACACAAGGCCACCACAAAAAAACCCAATCCAGGGCCAGGAAAGGTACATCGCAGGGGGAGGGCGCCATCTGCATGCTGTGGCAAGAGCCAAAGGGCTGGCGCGGGGCCAACATCATGCTACAGGAGCCACAGCAGGGTGAGTGTAGGGTGGGCTCACAGTCCAATCCCTCCCTGGGCCTCCTACCCCTGGGGTCCAGGTCCTAACCTCCCCTAATGACAGCTTTATGCTAGTCAAGAAGGCCCACTGTGCAGGAGGTATTCTCAGGCATAGATGATGGAACTAGGGGTGCTGGCTTGAAGTGGTTTCCATTTTATACAGGGTTTACAGTTTGGTTCAATGGCTCTCAGCACCTCCCCTATACAAATTGTTCCAGCACCCTTGTTCTCAGGGAGCTGTTTCTGCCATCTTTAAGGGCCTTTTACAGCCCAACTGAAGATGTGTCTTCGCTAGTGAAAGGGTCATATCTTCATTGCAAAAAAGATAAATAGGTGAGCTCAGCTATAGGTTGGGGTATAGTATTAGGGTGACCAGATGTCCCGATTTTATAGGAACAGTCCTGATTTTTGGGTCTTTTTCTTGTATAGGCTCCTATTACCCCCTACCCCCTGTCCTGATTTTTCACATTTGCTGTCTGGTCACCCTATATAGTATTGACCTTGTCTAGCTACTTCATGGTAAAAACTACAGTACCTTGTCTCCACTAGGATTTTACAGCAGGATAGCTAATGTGTGCTAGTTATCCTGCAGTAAAAACACACCTTTAATGGAAGTGAAGACAATGCCAAGGTGTTTTTAATCTGTGTTAACTAACCCATGTTACAGTCCTAGTGAAGACAATGTAGTTGTAGTTTTAACCTCTATTAATTATTTGAGGTAAACCCTAGATTGTTCTGTTGCGTTTATCTTGACCAGCTAATATGGGTTAAAAGTACAACTGCCTTGTTTTTACTAGATTTGCAACATGGATTAGTTTATCAGGGATTAAAAATACACCCTTTTTCCTAGGCCTGAGAATTGGGTCCATTGTGTTTGGGGAGTCTAACAAATTAAATTGGGATCTCCTACTGGCTTCTCTGGAATTAACTATTCTTTTTTCCTTTCTTCTCCCCCTTTCTTATTTCTCGTTACTTTTTATCAGTGGTTTATTGGGAAGGGGTTGGGGGGAGGATCCCAAACATTGACTCCAAACATTCCAGCCAGGGAACATTTTCCTTTTTTCTCCTCCCCCTATTTTTCAGTAGTTTCTATTATCAGTTGGTAGATGGATTAAGACACTGGGCTGTTTACTAAAGCCAGTAAACCCTTTGTGTGGCTCCCCCTGAATGTCACAAATAAATCATTGCTCTCCTGCTTCATGCTTTTAATCAGCATCCCCCAAGTGAAGAGGAAGGAAAAGGTTAAAACACAAATCCGAAGTGCTGGCTCGGAGTTGCTGGAAGGGGATGGGGGGACAACCCCTCCTTCTAGGAAGAAGGGACAGAAGTCGGACGATAGGCTTGGATGGGTCCTGCTTATAGGGGGTCATGATAGGGCTGAGCGGGCTCCGCCAGGCGCACATACGGAAGCTAAACTGTTATGCCGGGTGTCGAGGGCTCAGCTCATAAGGGGGACGCCAGGGCCCATGCTGAGGCTCGTCTCCTTGTGCCGGGTGGGGGGCAGGGACCTAGAGCGGGGCTCAGCTTGCGGGGGCTGGGTGCTTCGGGCAGACCTGGGGCGGCTCCAGATGAAACAGCGGCTGGGCCATGTGATCCTGCCCGCCCCTCTCCAGGAAGCGCCGCGGAGAAGAGGAAGCTGGAGCCGCCGCGGTGGAGGGAGAGAGCGCGGGTGGTGTTTGTCCCCTACTCCTCAGCCCGGAGTGTGGGCGCTCGAACGGAGCAGGTAGGTGGGTGCCTGCCTTCGGGCCGCGGAGGAGGGAGACAGACGGGGGAGCGGCCCGGGCGAGGAACTCCGCCCAGCTACATTTTCCCCTGTTGGGAGGGTCACGGCTTGTTATTTAAACCTTCCCCTCTCCTGTCGGGCCCTTCAGGACGAGACACAAAAAACAATCATTCCCGAAATCAAACCTAGGGCCACCCCGGATCCCACCCAGCCTGGGCCAACCCTCGGGTCCCAAAGCTGCTGGGATAAAGTGACCCTGTTCCCATTTGCAGATACCCCCGACTCCCCGTGACTGTGGTGAGTAAAATCCGATGACACCGTGCTGAACGCCTTTTCTGGGCTAGGTTATGGTCGAGAATGTGTTAACTAATTTCACACTCATAGTTAGTCATGTTCTAACACAATAAAAAATGAATGAATGAAGACAAGGCCTGGCGGGGAAGGGAGCTTCAGGCAAGATCCCTGCACCAGAGCCTGATTCAGAGGCAATCACAGACGGAGAAGAAAGAGGACGCTCAAGTATCTGGGGGTAGCCGTGTTAGTCTGTATGCATATAAAGAACAAGGAGTCCGGTGGCACCTTAAAGACTAGCAGATTTATCTGGGCATAAGCTTTCATGGGTAAAAAACCCACTTCTTCAGATGCTTGTTTCGAAGGGACAAATGGTTGTTGCTCAAATTCTGCTGACCTACCTTATGTAGGGCTCTGCCTGCTATCAACAAACTAGAATGGGATTAGGCAATGGAGAAGGCAAACTGGCTCCCTATTCGTGCCTTAAAAAAAGAAACAATGCTTTCCAGCAGGCTCCACTGGAAGGAAAATTATTTTTTAATTAATTTTGATTATTAGATATCTTAAAGTCATCCTGACATCTTGGACTGCCATGTAATTAGAAAAGTGTGTTGTAGGTGCATCTTGAAAGGGTTTAAACAGAGAATCAAAACTGTTTTATAAGCTAGAATCACTTACCCTATCCTATTGAAGTTACAATTTATTACAAACTCTGCCCTAAACTGTCAAGTAGCTTGCTGTGTTCTGCTAAATAGCTGCTGCCCTAGTGGTGGCTGTACTTCAGCAGTGGACAAAGTGATTCTTTTATCTATAGTTCAATACAATCAGTCACACTTGCACTTTAGTTTGTTTGGCTTCATGCTCATCATTATTAAAATCTTCCAAGTGTGATTGCCACAATCGCAAAATATGTAGCATCAACCTTTAGTAAGGGCTTAGAGTACTTCTGTCAGCTAATGGAGTTACTTCTCTAGCTCAAGTGGTAGAATACTGGGCTTTGTTAATTCAAATGGTGATGACTACCAATATGGAGCACATTATGCAATTGTTATTAAATATATGTGGGACCGGTTTGGGTAGGTTTACTGCCTATAGGGAAAAAATAATCCAAGTTGCTTGTGGGGACTTGTCTGACAACTGCATACAGAGGATTCATTTAAGATACACAAATAACATCTGGGAGTTTTTAACTAATACTTTATTTTGACAGATACTAGACTATGTCTGTGGTTTTGGTACTGCTGTGTCAGCTGCCAATAATGTTTGCATTTCCTCATTGCACAAGAAGATTAAAGGATTCAAAGCATACAGGGAAAGAAGGTAACATTCTTCTAAAATGAAGCTATACTTTCTGGAGTGAAACTGCATCTTACAGTGTTCTATTGTGGAAACAATCTTTTGTTTAAAAACTAAAATTGTGTAACACAGTTGTGTGATCGTTAACTAACATTAGAAGCAACAGGATTTAGACTGGTTTAAAAATCATATTCTTGCTTCTCCCACAATTTTAGAATACACCTCTACCCCGATATAACGCGACCCGATATAACATGAATTCGGATATAACGCGGTAAAACAGTGCTCCGGAGGGGGAGGGGCGGGGCTGCACACTCCGGTGGATCAAAGCAAGTTCGATATAACGCAGCTTCACCTATAACGCGGTAAGATTTTTTTGCTCCCGAGGACAGCGTTATATCGAGGTAGAGGTGTAGTTGAATGTTTTTGCTAAAATGATCATCAGTCAAACAGATTGTCAGCAGGGTTTCAGAAAAAACACGAGTGAGATAAACAGGACAATACAGGCTCCTCTTAGGCCTCTGGACACCTGTCAGTGACAGTTACCATTGTTGTCAGATTTTCTTAGTAATGAGTCAGGAAACAATAGTTCAGTCTCTATTAAGACTGCACTGCATTGGTTCGTATTTGGAAGGGCTTTTTTTTCCCCATTCTTGGCATTCAGAAAAGATCAAAGTTTTCATTTCAAAAAAATAGTTGATCGGAAACTGTTTGAATCACCATATTGTCTTCTGACATAACAGAAAGTTTGTTTGATTAAGGGAAACACTTTTCCACTCACTGTGTAATTAGACTGTGGAACTCATTGCCACAGGATGACACTGAAACCAAGAATGTAGCCAGACTCAGAGGGGTTGGACATTTTTATAGGGACAGCAAGGAAGATCTAGAGTTGTTATAGTTGATACTAGCACATTTTGGGAGGGATCTAAACCCCATGCTTCAAGGATTAAGATAATCTCTAACTCTAAAGAGTTGGATGAGACCTTCATGGGGACTAATTATCCCACATCTGCCTAGTGAGAGGATGCAAGACAGTGATGGATCAGTGGTCTGTCCAGTTTGGCAATTATGTTCCTAGCAGCCAGTATTGAATACAACACATGGAAGTACTAAACGGATCTCTCATTTGGTTCATTTCTTCAAAGTATTTGCGTATAGTCCATTATGATATGAAGAATCCAGTATTTACAAACAACAAGAGTGCGTGTGGGTGTACAGACCAAGGTCTGTCCCAGCACTCCTGATCAATGCACCCCATCCTGCCAGGCAGGACTATATTTAAAGGCATGTCATGGTAGGGGTCTACTACAGACCACCTAACCAGGAAGAAGAGGTGGATGAGGCTTTTTTTAAACAGCAAACAAAGTCATCCAAAGCATAGGACTTGGTGGTGATGGGGGACTTCAATTACCCAGTCATCTGTTGGGAAAATAACACAGCAGGGCACCGATTATCCAATAAGTTCTTGGAATGTATTGGAGATAATTTTTTATTTCAGAAGGTGGAGAAAGCTACTGGGGAGAGGCTGTTCTAGATTTGATTTTGACAAATAGGGAGGAACTGGCTGAGAATTTGAAAGTGGAAGGCAGCTTGGGTGAAAGTGATCATGAAATGATAGAATTCATGATTCTAAGGAACGGTAGGAGGGAGAACAGCACAGTTCTGGGTCTGGTTCTATACTATATCTTCATCAATGGCATACAGAATACATTTACAAAGTTTGCGGACGATACCAAGCTGGAAGGGTTTTGCAAATGCTTTGGAGGATAGGATTATAATTCAAAATGATCTGGACAAACTGGAGAAATGGTCTGAAGTAAATAGGATGAAATTCAATAAGGACAAATGCAAAGTACTCCATTTAGGAAGGAACAATCAGTTGCACACATACAAAATGGGAAATGACTGCCTAGGAAGGAGAAAGGGATCTGGGAGTCATAGTGGACCACAAGCTAAATATGAGTCAACAGTGTAACGCTGTTGCAAAAAAAGCATACATCATTCTAGAATGCATTAGCAGGAGGGTTGTAAGCAAGACACAAGAAGTAATTCTTCCTCTATACTCTACTCTGATTAGGCCTCTACTGGAGTATTGTGTCCAGTTCTGGGCACCACATTTCAGGAAGGATGTGAACAAATTGGAGAGAGTCCAGAGAAGAGCAACAAAAATGAATAACGGTCTAGAAAATATGACCTATGAGGGAAGATTGAAAAAATGGGCCATAACAGTTTTCAAGTACATAAAAGGTTGTTACAAGGAGGAGGGAGAGTAATTCTTCTTAATCTCTGAGGATAGGACAAGAAGCATTGATTTTAAATTGCAGCATAGAAGGTTTAGGTTGGACCTTAAGAAAAACTTCCTGTCAGGATGGTTAAGCACTGGAATAAATTGCCTAGGGAGGTTGTGGAATCTCCATCATTGGAGATTTTTAAGAGCAGGTTAGACAAACACCTGTCAGGAATGGTCTAGATAATTAGTCCTGCCACGAGTACAGGGGACTGGACTAGATGACCTCTCGAGGGCCCTTCCAGTTCTATGATTCTATGTAGATTCTGATTCTGCAAGTCCTCTGCATGCATAACTGCCACAATTTTAAATTAAAATTACAAGTTGTTAATTTAATGTTCTGTTTCAGATGTGAGACACAGAAAAGTCAGGAAATTCCCACAAAACAACCATAACTCTGTTCATTACACATATGTTTAAGGCATTTAAGTTAATGCAAATATGTGCAAGTTTCTTAGGTTGCTAACTAGTGTTAACAGGATGGAACCTGATTTGACACTATTTTCCCCATTCTCCTGGATTTGCATGTAGCCATCAAGTTGTTGAAAAATCTACAAGTTGAAGGATCAGGTTTTGATTTCAGTTAAAACACTTCTATTCTGAAACACAATTTTTTTTTTCAGTTATATCTGATAAGTGAATGAAACACTGCTGAACAAAATAGGCAAAGCTTTTCTTTTCAGTTTGATTAATATAAATCAGTTTCAGAGTACTTATATTGATACAGGTTGCACAAAGGTTAACTCCTAGGGAAAACTCTATTTCAGCACTGCCCAAATGTACTTTGGGGATCTCCCCCCACCCCGCCCCCCATATTCTTCTTAAGGCTAGTCCCTTTCTCCATGCTGTAAAAATGTGATAATCTTAAATGCCGTAACTCCTTCTAACTTGATAAAATAATGACAAGAAAATTCATTTTAAGATAAGCGATTCCCCAAATTGTTCAGGCATAGTATTAAAGGCAGCAGCAATTAATATGAGTGATACTGTAAGTCTTTTGGAATTGTCACTGAGCAAAATACTTTGAGATACCATTGCAATGCCCAATATTAACTATTAAGGGAAAAATTCCTGAGTGATGGGATAATCTATACCAGTGGTGGGCAACCTGCAGCCTGTCAGAGTAATCTGCTGGCGGAACGCCAGACAGTTTGTTTACATTTGCACGGCCACCCGCAGCTCCCAGTGGCCGCGGTTCGCCGTTCCCGGTAAATGGGAGCTGCGGGAAGTGGTGGCCAGCATGTCCCTGTGGCCCGCACCACTTCCCGCAGCTCCCATTGGCCGGGAACGGCAAACCGCGACCTCTGGGAGCTGCGGGCAGCCATGCAAATGAAAACAAACTGACTGGAGGCCTGCCAGCGGATTACCCTGATGGGCCACGTGTGGCCCGTGGGCCACAGGTTGCCCACCACTGATCTATGCAAATGAATTGTCTAACAAGTACATATCTACTTTGTGACTGAATAACTTTATCCTGAATCTTGTCTCTCTCTCTTTGTGAGTAAGTGGACTTAGTTTGTAAGAATGCTCTTCCTGCTTTCATTAACACCCTTGCACACTGGAGAGTTCTTTTTAATTAACCCTCTAGTCATTTCACTTAGCAAAACCGTCTACTTACTTATACTAGAAGTTAATTTAAAATATTTCAGTTGCACAGAAAAGCAGGTCAGAAGATTTCTGTTGTTCAAAGATGAGTTCTCTATTACAAGTTATAGCAAAGACAGGCTAAAACTTGAGCCCAGAAGAAACCTGATGAGAAAATGCATTCCAGTATCTTTAAGTCTGCTATAACTTCACTAACTTCTGGAATTAGAACTAGGGGAGTGAGTTTATTTTCTGAGGCTCCTAAACAGCTTCTAAAAATGGCAAAAATAAAGAAAAGATGAGTTGTTAAAAACTCTGCCTAATCAAAGATGATGTCAGCAAGAACCCCATCATGAACCTAATGACCATAGAGCAGCATTTATTTAAAAGGTATAAAAATAATGTATTGCCCTTTTTGTTTAAAACTTCAATCTACCCTTAAATGCTGTTCCTAAATAGTGTGATATTAAGAAGAAATTAATGGAATTTATCCACTGTGCTGATGGAAACCCAATTTCTAAAACAAAGACTAGAATTCAGATACCAGAATGTGTGAAAAGGAATGTATGCCTAGGATTCTTACTGGAACATATCAAAGGAGGTAACCCTTAGGCTTTTTCAAGATGTGGATACTGGATCTTGCTCAGTCTGGGTCTGCTTAGAAGTCCATCTTAAAGTAATTGAATATTACAAGGAACCTTAGGATTCCCAGGCACTCCCACACTCCAGCAGGGTCAATACCACAGCTGTGGTCACTTGCATTTCAGACAGCTGGCATGAGGACCAAATTCTAAAAAGTTGCTATGAGAAAATCTGAAACTATTTACAAGGGACAGAAAATATTTAAATTTGAATGTGGAACAGGCAGAAAGAGAACTGTTGTGTTGGCAGCAAAGAAAATGATTCAGGAAGAGGCCTTGAAGTCTCCTTTTATATCCAGTAAAACGGGAAAAAAACAGAGAGATGTTTTTCTTTTGGGATTTTAAAGAGCTCCAGAGTTTTTTGTAAGAATACCAGAACTATCCCCCTAATTTAACTGTTTTAAAATAATTTATTTTTTGTTAGTGTTTACATCGGAAAAAGAAGCCAATTTGTTCATTGGACGACATCTTCTGTATAACAGATTTGATTTTGAAGTATTTACCCCTGGTAATCTAGAAAGAGAATGCTATGAGGAGCAATGCAATTATGAAGAGGCAAGAGAAATTTTTGAAGACCCTGATAAAACGGTAATTGCTTTGATTTAGTTTAAAATACTGGGTGGCCATCAGTAGATGGTTATTATAAACTACTGTAGCCCTTCAGAAGAGATCACTTAAAATAGGAGTTCTGCCATTATTATTTATATTACAGTAGAACCAGAAGCCCCAATCAGATGGGGCCCATTGTGTTAGGAATGCAGTGAATTCACGGTACGTGCCCCAAAAAGCTTGCAGGCAAAGGCTATGATTCTGCGAATACTTACAAACATAAGTGGGACTTCAGTAGGACTACACACAAAAGTAAAGCTAGGCACATGCATAAGTGTCTTCAGAACTGGGAACTTTTTGGGGGGGAAAAGTGACCTGGGAAGGGGATAAAATCACACAAATAATTTTGTGTATTTTATACTTTTAAAAAATGTATATATAAAGTGCCAACTCTTCCTATCTCCCCTCACTCATTAATTGGCTGGTTTTATATACAAGTTACAGCAAAGGGGAATCTTGAGAAGAGGGCAGTGGTGACCTTGTGGATCAGTTAAGTGTGAGTGTTCCATGGATAAGGAGCAACTTGGAAGATGCTACTGTATAGTGAAAAAAAACTTTGGCAGGAGCAGGAAAAGGGGTGCAAGCCTTTCACCCCTCCCCCCCTACTCCCCAGGAAGGAGCAAGACGCAGATGAGAGCAGTACTTGCAATCCTCCAAACAACTAGTGCTGCCTGTAGTGCAAATCTCTCCAGGGCCCCTGCCATCCTCTGCACTCAGTTGCAGAAGGAGCAAGCAGTGCACCCTCTCCCAGGAGGATGGAGCTGCTACTGGAGTTTGCATTCCCTAGGAGTCTCCCAGGAGGACTTTTACATGACTACATCATATTTTCCCTGGAGGCTTCTGCTGCACAGTGGCTTCTTCCTCCTGCCCTGCCCCCAACCCCACACCTTTTCCAATGTGGGTTGTGGCTTAGTCTCAGTCTTAACTATAGGATTAAATTTTATACAGTGCATTACTGTCTTTAGTCATAAAATATTGTCTTATATGCATCATATTATTAACCTATGGAATTCACTGTTCAAGGATATTATTGAGGCAAGTAGCTTTGTAAGATCAGACACTTGCATGAATAGCATTGGAATTTACACTAACTAGGATAAATTATAAGCACCACCAATCTCCATTGTCAGTCTAAGCTAATTACTAAGTGGTATCAAGAAGAAATTTCTCTACATGATATAGTATTGCAATTTAGAGGTGTTCTTGGTTTGTCTTTTTCCTTTTCTTTTAAACAGTTGGCATTTCTTTCTATTGGTTTAAGTGGACCATTGGTTTGTTCTAGTATGGCAGTTTTTTATGATGTTATACCTGAATATACAAGTGGAATTTCAGCCCTGGGGTAAGCAGGGGCAACTTTTGACTTCAGTGGGAGTTGTGCCCATTTATGCCATGTCTGAATTCTGCCCACAATCTCTTATTTAAGTTATACATCACATATAGGCTTGAACTATTTAAAAAAACATTTTTATTTTCATAGATGACTTTTTGGAAAGAATATTCCATTAAGGGACCCAGCACAAAATTCGGTAAGTCAAGATCAGAGCTTATCTCGTTTCTCTCCATTACATTGCAAATATTGCTCCCCTCACACACACTCTAGACCCCCCCCCCCCAAATATGTTGCAATTTATGTTGTCATCTGGTCATAACTAAGTATTCAGCTGGCACAGTTATAACCCTTGATTACTGTCTTTTTATATTTTTTGTGCATTTTCTTTTTATATACTGAAATGTATATTATATAGTATCTAATATATTTGTGAAGTTTGGGGAGTTGGAAGACTTTGGCCCTTTACTATTGCATATTGAAATATGCATTCTGCTATCCATTTCCTTGTATGTATTAGACAATATAGAAACTTTGCAACTATAATTCTGCTGCTTCCTACTTCTGTTTTTATTTTGTACTGCAATAGTTTATAGAGGCCCCAGTTAGGATCAGGACCTCACTGTGGTAGGTGCTATACAGATAGAGTGAAAGTCAGGATCTGCTCTGAAGGACTTAATCTGATGAAAGATGCAATAAGTGTGTGAAATAACAATTGGTGGGGATGGATTGGTGGAGAATCTCAAAAACATGCATATATAAATGATCTAGGAGAGGAATATTTGTTAACTTTTGCTTTTGGTTGGGGTGGGCATTAAAGTGCTGGATTGATGTGATGGCTTGTCATGTGAGAAGACTAATAGAAAGGAACTACTACTATTAATCTTACTATAACATCTCTCTCAAATCTTCAAAAAGAGAGAAGGCCACCACTGACAAAGCATTGTTAATAATGCTATAGTGTTAGTCAACTGGAAATAATTACTGATTTCTGTTCAGATGGTGAAGCTACACAAAAAATTGATGTTACAGGACTTCTGACTGGCCTAGTTGCTACTGGAGTTCTGTTGGTTTTAACTGGATTACTTATTTATTATTTCTGGAAAAACAGATGCAAAGCAAGACAACCACCCGGGTAAGGAATTGAGAATAATATTTCACTTTACTTTCATAGAAAAAACTTTAGTAATATAGGTGGAATTTTCAAAATCATTCTGCTCTCAGTGAAGTGAATGGAAATTTTACTATTGACTTCAGTGGAGACAGAGTTAGGTCACTACTAAATGCTGTTGAAAATATCATTCTTAGAGTTAAGGTTCTACAAGATTGTAACTATAAATCACAAGAAAATATATAAAACAAATGACTTTTGTATGGGTCACAGATCCTGTTAAACAATATTTTGCTGGGCCCCAAAATCTTTACCAAGAAAAATGGTTTCAGCATGAGGGAGCCCTGAGCCAGATCTGGTTTTTGAAACCTGCAATGGAGGAGTGTGAACTGGTTTTAAGAATAGTTTTAGATATTAGGATTTGTAACTGCTGGAGAAATTGAATTGTGCTAGAGGAAGTATGAGTGGACTTAACTTTTTCCAAAGAATTAGCTTGCTGAGGATCCACAGATTCCTGAAGACAGCCATTCTGTGAGCTTCACAATGGAAACTACTATTGTAATACAGTGGAATCTCCTTAATTGGCACAGTTAGTAACTAGTATGTTTATCTGAGATTCATGAGAATATTTTGTGCTGTGATAAATATAATATGCTGTAAAGCAGGAGATACACAGCAATAAATGTATGCTTGCAAGCATAAATTCACACCAGTAAACAATGTGAAAGGCTTACAGATGGCACTAAGTATGCCATTTGTCCATCACTGAATTGAAATACTTGTGTTAGGCAACTGTATTAAAAAAGTTAAGTGGACTCTGAATAGCTAAAGGAGGGGAAAAGGTAAATCAGATTTTAGTTTACACAATCTCACTTGTGGACTAAATGATATGTAATAGAGCTTTCAGACTTCAAAAACTTGTTTGGCCAGCTTGTTAGTATAAATCTCCTCTCCAATTTTCTTTCTGTTTTTAAAATCTATGGCAGTTTTGGTTATTTTCCTTTCAACTGCATCATTTTTTTAAAATACACACAATTATTTACTACGAAGTAAACTGAATGCATTTTTAATTGAAAATACACCTTTAAACCTAAAATTATCAAGTATAGTGCTATTGGATATCTGCTCCTCCAGGGTTGTTGTAGGTACAAGACTTCACCATGAACCAAATGCGTATCCATTTGCAGTATAAGCATGTGTTCTTGATTCTATACAGGGTGATGAAAGGATGAAACCATAAAGTCTGATTGATTTTTTTCCCAGGGTTATGTACACCATCAAAGTATAATCTGTGATACTACCCACACTAAGACTCCCCTTATGCCTAAAAGCTTTACCACTATCATTTGAAGCACCCATAAACTCCACAGAACATTGAGTATTTAAGAAACAAATATGCTATTTTGTTAATATTCTATTATTACTTATGATTATGGAATATGATTTAAAAACTAGACTGTGTACTAGTACTTGAAACACTAAACTTGAGATCAACTATATAAGTAATCAGCACTTAATGATCTTAAAGAAGAGCGCTTGTCAGTTCTTGTAAACAGCACTTTTTTTTTTTTTTCCACATGCACAGTGTGGCATACACGGAAATATCCCAGTGATCTAAAATGCAGAAAACTGCACTGAATTTTGATTATATATTAAATAAAAGGAAGAGTGTACATAAAAATGACAGTAAATTGAGTTACACTATTTACAACAGTAAATATTATTGCAACTTAAATATCTATTGAGATAGAAAAAGCTGATTTGTAACTACTTGTGTTGGAATCCTTTAAGGGCCTCTTCTCTACCTGTTAAAAGCAAATCCTGTCTGACTTCCATAAGCATAGAAGCCCCTCTTCTAGTGAAGGAGGCACAATTCTGCAACTCAAAGGAGGGGTGGACCTTTGCATAGTTCTGCTGGGATAGGGAGCTGAAGTAATCTGGAGGATCCACTGCTACATGGATTCTCTAGCTCTCCTCCTCTCTCTACTCCTCTCAACCTCACAAGTATGAATCGGCAACAGAGTTACAGAAGCTACTCCAGCCATTGCCGTGAAGTAACTGTCATAGTGGGTCCTAGAGGAGGATTCTGCCCCATCCTTGTCTCTGTGAATTTCTGCAGCACTTAACTGTGTTCCTCAGCCTAGGTTCTGGGGATACCCATTTGGCCCATGCTATTTAAGATTATTAAAAATGTACTTGCTTTGGCAAAAGGCTATGTAATCCTCTCCTTCATATATAAAAATGAAAATGTCATTCATAATACTTTTAACTCTGTTTAGGTACTCAGACAGTGTAAGAAGTAGAAGACCTTCATCTATCATCTTCAGAAGACATGAAGAGGTTTCTTTAAATCCACTCCCTCTAAGAACAGATGATGAGTCAGGACTGCCAACTTATGAAGAAGCTGTGACATTAGGTGGAAAATACGATGTCCCACCACCACCATATCCGGGGCCTGCAAAAGGGTTTAAGATGTTTAAAAAGTCTATGTCACTTCCTGCCCCATAGTCCCAAACTTGACTCTGGAGGAGTGGGGAATTAATCTTCATTGGAAGATGTACATTTGAAAAGGGGCAGTACCTTGCAGGACATTTTTCACAAATGTGAAAGACTTACAGCTCTTCTGCACAGCTAGGAGCAAGTGAATTATTTCATAATGGAAATGAAGTTATTGTTTTGAAAAAGTTTGATGTATTTTTCCAGCATGAAACTTGTTTATACAGGTTTTTGGTGCTAGAACTGAACCGTGCATAAAGGTACTAATCTTTGAGCTCCCATGCATTTTGAGCCAAGTATCAAACTACTGATATTCCCTTACTAGTTTTATTTACTGTTTATTCAGAAGGAAAAAGATTTTTAATATTAAAATTGGACTTAACACTAACCATTTTTTAAATTAAAACTTTAAACCACTGTGAATATATTAAGCATTGAATAACTAACAAAATAGATACCTCATTTGGTTGCTAGGTGGGTTTTGTACTGGTTCTAGAAGTAGTAATGGGCTGTATTGATGAAAGCTAGTTAATCTGTCAAGCTTGTATAGTGTTATGGTTTCTGAATTAATTTGTCTAATTTTAAACATTAACTGGACAGTATGAGACAATACATGGCAGGAAGCCATGCTTAGGAGGACAGAGGATATTCTCTATGAAAATCACGGTTGGAGGTTATCTAAAATAATGACTACATGTATTCTCCTCAACTTCATCACCTATTTACTGCTCTCTGTTGCAGAACAGTAGTTATTGCTAGGCAAGTCAGATAGGTGTCTTTCCCTAGATCCCATTAACAAACGACCCATAGCAATGGCTAGTTGGTAACTAGTAGGATTATTTCTCTCCTTCCACATCCCCACCTTAATATACACAGTGTAAATTTTCAAAGCATTGTCTGGGGAAGCAACTTCTCCTTGAACACAATTTCCATTGATTACCTTAGTCTTACCTACCCCAGGGTACTGTGATGTTTAATTAATTGCCATTCATACTTTGAGTGCTCTGAGATTCTTGGTTGAAGAGTGCCATAGATCATTTTTAACTGCTGAAGCCTTAAAGATTGTGTCCAATCTACTTCAAAGACTGCATCTCAACTGATCAGCTGATATATGAAGTGCTGAGCCAACAGTCTCATGGCTTAATCACAAGGAGAGTGGAAACCAATCATCAGTGAGAGGTGCTTGACCATTGCATTATCTTGTCATCTGTATACCCCAGATCCCAAGTCTGTTAACCTTCTACTCCTTCATAATTCCCCTTCAGATTTGAAGGGGAAAGGTCTAGAGAGGTTTGGGGGTTTTGGACATTGATCTGAATTGTTGTATCTTGTACATGTGCCAAAAACATTGCATCATATTTTTTAAAAATATAAATAAAACTATATGAAATAAGGCCAGAATATTCACTTGAATGTAGAATCTGACTCTTAATTCATAAAAGGAGGAAGTAATTACAAATGGGTGATTGCTGACAACGAAGAAAAAAAGTTGACATAAGCAAATTACAATTTTGAAATATTGTGGGTATTGGTCTACCTACTTTCGTCAACTAATGGATGTCCATCAGTTTCTGCCAGTCAATACACCTGGCTTCAGTATAGGTGCCTTCTGTAAATCCATGCTTTTTCAATTATTATACTAAAACTGGATGGAGCATAAGCTCGGATTTGGAAAAGAAAAGTTAATACAAGGAAGATGACTCTTGGTATGATAAATTCATCCTGAATTCGAAGAGCACCAATTGGTGCAACAGAGATTATAGTTTTGTAAAGTACCACCCTACAGTCTAAAAGGTGAACCACTCTTTTGTCAAACTTCATATGATGGGATTATTAATGAAGTCACTTCAACAATGGGAAGTGATGAGAAGATGTAATTGCTTCTCTAAATCACCTGTTCAACTATTACTGGAAAACAGGCTTAACCCCCCCCCCAACAATCTAGTTAAAAGTAGGGCTGTCAAGCAATTAAAAAAATTAATCGCAATTAATCATGCAATTAAATAATTGCGATTATTTGCACAATTAATCGCACTAATGGAATACCATTTATTTAAATATTTTTGGATGTTTACTACGTTTTCAAATACTGATTTAAACTACAACACAATACAAAGTGTACAGTCTTCACTTTATATTTATTTTTGATTAAATATTTGCACTGTAAAAAAAATAGTATTTTTCAATTCACCTAATACAAGTACTGTAGTGAAATCTCTATCATGAACTTACAAATGTAGAATTATGTCCAAAAAAAAAACCTGCGTTCAAAAATAAAACAATGTAAAACTTTAGTGCCTACAAGTCCACTGAGTCCTACTTCAGCCAATCGCTCAGACAAACAAGTTTGGTTCCAATTTGCAGGAAGATCATGCTGCCCGCTTCTTGTTTACAATGTCATCTGAAAGTGAGAACAGGCATTCACATGGCACTGTTGTAGCCGGCATTGCAAGATATTTACGTGCCAGATGCCCTAAAGATTCATATGACCCTTCATGCTTCAACCACCGTTACAGAGGACATGCGTCCATGCTGATGACAGGTTCTGCTCAATAACAATCCAGAGCAGACTGACGCATGTTCATTTTCATCATCTGAGTCAGATGCCACCAGCAGAAGTTTGATATTCTTTTTTTGGTGGTTCGGGTTCTATAGTTTCCGCATCTGAGTGTTGCTTTAAGACTTCTGAAAGCAAGCTCCACACCTCGTCCCTCTCAGATTTTGGATGGCACCTTAGATTCTTAAACCTTGGATTGAGTGCTGTAGCTATTTTTACAAATCTCACATGGTACCTTCTTTGCATTTTGTCAAATCTGCTGGGAAAGTGTTCTTAAAATGAACATGTGCTGGGTCATCATCCGAGACTGCTATAACATCAAATATGTCAGAATGTGGGTAAACAGAACAGGAGACTTACAATTCTCCCCCAAGGAGTTCAGTCACAAATTTAATTAATGGATTATTTTTTTTAAACGAGCATGAAGGGGCATACGAATGTTTAGCATATCTGGCATGTAAATACTTTGCAACGCCAGCTACAAAAGTGCCATGCGAATGCCTGTTCTCACTTTCAGGTGACATTGTAATTAAGAAGTGGGCATTATCTCCCGTCAATGTAAGCAAACTTGTTTCTCTTAGCAATTGGCTGAACAGTAGGACTGAGTGGACTTGTAGGCTCTAAAGTTTTACATTGTTTTGTTTTTGAGTACAGTTATGTAACAAACAAAAAAAATCTACATTTGTAAGTTACACTTTCACAATAAAGAGATTGCACTACAGTACTTGTATGAGGTGAATTGAAAATTATTCTTTTGTTTGTCATTTTTACAGTGCAAATATTTTTAATCAAAATAATAAAAAGTGAGCACTGTGCACTTTGTATTCTGTGTTGTAATAGAAATCAATATATTTGAAAATGTAGAAAAACATCCAAAAATATTTAATACATTTCAATTGGTATTCTATTGTTTAACAGTGAGATTAATCGTGATTAATTTGAGTTAATCGCGTGAGTTAACTGCAATTAATCGACAGCCCTAGTTAAAAGTTTAAGATGTGCACTGCCTGGTTAAACACAATTTGTCTAAACTTTGTAAAGCCAAACTATTTTTTAAAATTGATTAAAAATTTTTACAGATTACTTCTTTAAAATAAAATACTTAGGGTAATATAACCTTGTTTAAAATACATTACAGGTTATTTTGGACTAAGTAGCAGCTCGTGTAATTTTACAGTTTGTTTAAAGGATCAACACTTATTTGGACTACGAAATATGAAGCCACTAGTTACTAATGCTAATTTTTGAATTAGTCACTAGATATTTCAATTGATAGTGTTGATCTTTCATTTATAATTTGTCAGTTTACAAAACACTAAACTATTCTCATTCTTTAAATGTTTGCATAGTTGTAGACAATGTAATCAAACTATTGCAAAATTAAAGTTTTTAAAGTAAGAAGTGGGTGGGAAAAATTCTTCTAAAAAGGAAGAATTTTTCAAAGTTGATTCTCTCATGCCCCAAGCTTTCCTTACCTTTCAGTCCTATCCCCCTCTGATCTTCTGTTTAGGGATATTCATTTAAACATAGATACTATGGGAAACATTTTTAAATATAACTGATACACTAAGGGGGTGGGGGGAAGGGCTCATGTATTCAGAACTATCATCACATTTGTAATTTTACCTGCTCTGCTCTTTAGAAGTACAATTATTAGAGGGTGAGAGACTAAATTTTTATTGGAGAGCATTTTTGAAATGGGGTTTGGAGGAGTAGGGGAAATAAAATGCATTGTTGATATTCAATATTATAAGTGTATCTGATTTTTGTCTTTTGGAACAGGCATGTGTGGGGTGGAGGGGGTGATATTTTAAAAGTGAACAGAGTGAGGGTTTGTTAAGAGCTATAAACTCAAGTCCTCATTTCTTACATTAAATTGTATTTGTTGATACTGTGCTTTTACTTCTGTTTTCACAGAACAGATCTATGATGACAATGATACATCACTTCTGTACCCATTGCCTTTAATGTTTCCTTTCAATTGTAAGGCTTTAAACCAACCCAACTTCAAAATCCTTCATCCATCCCTGGAGAGTGATTTATAAAATTGTATTGCTACGCTGTATGAAATATTGGTTGGAGCAAGTTCTCTCAGTTCAGGGCAAGTATACCTGTATTCCCTTTCTGTGGTCCCTCAAGGGCACCTGCTCTAGGCTCCTCAGCCATCACTTCTCTTGTGAGAGAGACATGTCTTTACCCTTCTCACTGGTGTTTTCCCAAGCTGCATAGTTCCCTGCTTACACTCTAATATTCCCAGCAAACCAGACTGCCTGAACAGGCCACCATCTGAGTGTTGCTTTCTCTTTGAAAGCTAGGAACAGCTGTAATTGACAGCAGTCACAAGTTACCACACAGCTCTTTAGATAAGCACGCACACTTAAGGTGAAATTACAGAGAAAACATATTAAGAATAAAAACCTACACACATGCAAATAAGCTTATCAGAGGTCACCCATTAATCGTATGGGTGCCTTAGTAGGTCAAGTTCTTCCAACCCTTCCGTAAGGATTGAGGTCCCCCTCCGTTGGATAGAAAGGTTCTGTATGTTTGCTGGATCAGAAAGAAAGCCTTAAATCAGTTTAATCTGACTATCCAAAAGTCCTTTCTTTGTCTGTTGGTCTCTAGAGAATCTGGTTTGATTTAATATATGTGAGCCTCCCCAGGAGGTGATACCTTTCTGAGGTGGGTACAAACTGGCTGATTTGCCTTAATCACCACCCACTGTTTTTAGTTCCTGGATGAGCTTTGGTAATCCTCCCATCTGGAATAACACAATCATACATAAACCATTCATTTTAAACAATGGATCCCAAAGATACTGCATGATGTTACAATCTCTGTCACACTTCCCCCATAAAGAAATTACTTACAATCCCGGTACACAATAATACATAAACTTAATACTATAACGTATTTTAAGGACATTGCAGGATATTGCCATATCCGTCACACAAATGGCTGGATATCAGCATTTCTAGGTTCTTTTTCCAATTCTGCCAACTGAATATGTTGGACAAATCCCTTGACTGCTCTTTAGTTGGGTAAAGTGAGGATATCTACCTTTTCATAATGCATTTTGAGATCTAATGAAAGATACTATAAATGTTAAATTATTCACTTTTTTATGGGCATAATGAAGAAGCAAAACCTTAAGTACTGTGTGAAAAGTGAGTCAGAGAAATACCCTCTGACTCATGAGGGGCTTGAGGGGTTAGATCCTGCTCCCATTGAAGTCAATGGCAAATTTCTCATTGACTTCAAGGAGAGTAGTATTGAATGCAAAATGAAATGACTTATCAAAATTTACTGGGTACTTTGAATATGCCTACAACTATGCTGCTGTCAAAATTGCTTAGGGAAGATTGCATGTTTTAATAACTAACTGTGCATGTAAAATTAACTAGGGTTTATTTTAATGGGATAGCTCTTTCCTGAAACAAAGCCCAGCCCTAGTTAGTGCAGCACAAAAGAATTTTACCTTTGGTTAGATTAGTACCACCAGTCTTGGGGGGAAAAAGAGGGAACACTTGTAAGCAAATAATGAAACCACTATATTATTGTGATCAGTAGTTCTTTTAAAACCATGATTATCAACCTTTTTCATATTGTGACCCCATATAACAACAGAAAAGTTTTGGGGCCCCTCCATCTAGCCATAAAAAAGGGATGGGTGAGTTGTGAACCTGATGTTGAGAACCTATGCTTTAAAACATTCTGCCTCATTTGAAGTTATTTCTGTATTCATGTCTGTAACAGATTTATCAGCTATAAAATTTTCATAGCAAGAAAATCCATTTATTAACCT